TTTGTCCAGCGTGCGGAGGCAAACGGCTCGGCCCTGCCACATGAACGCGATGCGCGATGCGGCAACGCGCATTGTGAAAAAATGACAGGCGTCTGTCGCTGTCAATCATCATCGTTATGAATGAAGAGGCTCATTACGGCACCCCCGTTGTTGCTGCTGTTGTTGTTGTTTGGTCTCGACTAAATGTCCCCCAAATCTCTGCTCACTTGGCGAGCTTGGCGCGGCGGGCGCAGCCCAGCCCAGCGCAGCCTCCCCTAGCGCCGACGCGCGCGACCCTCCCGGCCGGCCCCGCCCCGCCCCGCTTCACTTGGAGTTGATCGGGTTATGACTAAAGCCAATTTTCCCATACACACCCCCACTCCCCTGTCAAGCGGGTCGCTCCCTGGTGCCCGGCCTCCCCTCCGGCCCTCCGGCCGGCCGCAGCCCCGCGCAATCCCTTACAAACTGTTTACTTGGATGGGTAATTTCATCGCAGTGCGCGCGCAACTCACGCGGAAACCGTCGTGGATCACCCTCGGTAGTAGTACCTCCACCAGAAACACCTCGAACTCAGCTATCGTCTTCGCCTGCCCATCAGACTTAGACGTCGCCCGCAGTGCCATTCCCACGCAAAAGAAATTGAATTCCTTTTTTGGGGCGGTCTGTGCTGCTTGAGGGGTGATTGTAATTTTTGATGATCGGAACTGAAGCTATCTTGAAATGTGATAAGAGGAAAAAGTCCGGAAGACGTGACGGGGTTCGAACCCGCGGCCGTGGCACGCGACGCCCTCCTCCAGGGCTGCAGCTTGCTGCAGGCGCGCTGCCCTTGGCGGCTAAGCAGCTGCGCACACGGCGGCCCCGGGAGCGCCATGGAGTCCATAAGGCAGGCAGCCTGGAAGGGCCAAAGGCGGCCAAAGGCGGCCAAAGGCGGCCAAAGGCGGCCAAAGGCGGCCAAAGGCGGCCAAAGGCGGCCAAAGGCGGCCAAAGGCGGCCAAAGGCGGCCGGGGCAAGGCGGCCTGGGCGGCCGGGCGGCCTGCAGCCAGAGAATGAAGAAGCGCTGCAGTAAAATGAGATGCCGCCCTCTTCCTCGCCGCTATCGCAGCCATCTTTGCGTCCTCCGCGTCCTCGCCGTCCTCGCCGTCCTCGCCGTCCTCGGGTCTCTCCGCCCATGAGCTGCAGCTCCTTTCTCTTCTACAAAGCCATTCCCTATTATTGTTTGTCATAAATTCTCTTTATGTGCTTTTAGCAAGTCGTCTAGCTTGTAAAGCGAACGCTGGCCGCGCGCCGCGCCCTGGGCTTGCCGGCTCACTGGCCTGACGGCCTGACCTGCTCCAGTTTCGCGGTTCCGCGCCACCACCAGGACGTCCCGGACTCCGAGGGCGATCTCGGTCGCAGCCCCGGCGCCGCGCCACGCCACGCCCCGCCACGCACAGCCCTATTGTTCCTCACGGGGAATTTGGGCGCGTCCGTGCAGGGCGGGGCGGACGCGCCGCGCACCGTATTTGTTTCTCTCTGGCAAACTTTTGTCACACCCCCGCCCCGCGTGAAAGTACCTCCGCATTCCCCCTTGTCGGAGGCCCAGCCGGCCCGGCCCCAGTACGGCCGCCACCGCGAAGAAGGGAGAAAGGGTGAGCGGCGGTGGCGGCGGGGCGGCGGCAGTAGTTGCCGCTGTTGCCGCGCACACCAGCGCTCCACCGGAAATACGGGCGGAGATGGAACTACTGGTTAATTTCCTGTGGAGACGAGACTCCCTTGCCTGGCAGGCCCAGGCAGGCCCCGGCAGGCAGGCCGCCGTGTGAGGACAAGGCGAGAACTGCGCGGGGAGCCTGGCGTCCACGGGGTGAGGGAGCGAGAGAGAGAGAGAGAGAGAGAGAGAGAGAGAGAGAGAGAGAGAGAGAGAGAGAGAGAGAGAGAGAGAGGTGGAGGAACGACTCGGAGAGAGGACGGCGTCCCGCGGCGCCCTCATACTGCCCTGCAGGGCCTCGAAGGGCGAGCGTGTGCGGTCCGGGAGTACACGGCCTCCGGCCACGTCCACGGCCTCGTCCACGGCCTCGTCCACAACGTCCGCGGCCACGTCCACGTCGTCGCTGCAGGGTGGAGCAGTGCATACTCCCGAAGTGGGCTGGCGGGTACGAAGAAGGAAGCGAGGGGAAGGACGGGGTGGCGGAGGGACCCTCGGCGGCGCCTCGGCGAGTGCGAAAGAAAGGCAAAGAAAGGCAAAGCGAGAGAGACAGAGAGAAAGGCGGCAAGAGAGAAGAGGCGGAGAGAGCGCCGCGGCGATTAGATGGATGGATTGCCGGCGTCGCGAGTCGAAATCTCGGCCGCCTCGAGTTTAAGCCTTTGCAGAGGGCGATAAGGCTTTGATAAATGACTTGCGTAGGGTCGGCCCCGCCGCGCCCCGCCTCCCCCGCCTCGCTTCGCCCCGCCCCGCTCCGCCCCACCCCACCCCGCCCCGCCCCGCCGCGCCCCGGTGGCGTGCAGAGTCGGGCTTGCCAAAAACAATGCGAGCAGATGGAGGTGGCCGGGCAGCCTTGCGCAGCCTTGTGAGGTTCCGAGCCGGAAGGGGCCGAGATCATGACCGGAAGTGGATGCAAAAGACCTCCGGCCAAGCCGAGCCAAGCGCGCGCTGCGCCGGCCGGAGGCACCGAAGGGGTGAGCTACGGCCAGGCGGCTTGCCGGCCAGGCCACCCGGAGCCACGCGAGGCGAGGCGGCGCGCGAGCCCGCAGCACATCGCGAAACACCGTGGACACCACTTCAACTCAACTAACCCACTCAAAATATTTGAACTGTTATCGAAGCTTCCTTCTTGACGGCGGCGGCTGCCGCGCGGGTTCCTCCTTCCCGCGCCCACCCCATCCAGGCTATGGCAGGCCAGGCAGGCCAGGCAGCAAGAGCAAGCAGGGTACCATCCAAGGGTGTGATCGGTTTATATTCGATCTGCCGCGCACTGATATCTCCCGGTAATCTCCCCCGCCCCGCCCCGCCCCGCCCCGCCCCGCCGGCCTTCCCTCCAGCTTCCTCCGTGGCGCCGCCGGGCCTTGAGGGCGGGCACGGCGAGCAGCACTACCCCATCACGGGGAATCACTCGCCCCGGGAGAGTAGGCGTACCGCAACACAGCGCTGGCGGGGCTGGCGGGGCTGGCGGGGCTGGCGGGGCTGGCGGGGCTGGCGAGGCTCAGTGCAGATGAAAGGACCTGGCTGGCTGCCCGTCTGTCCGTCCGTCCGTTCGTCCGTCCGGCTGCGGTGTCGGTGGTGAGGCCGCGGTGAGACACGGCAGTCGAGCATGCTCAGCATGCCCTTGCAGAGAAATGGAGTGTCTGCTCCGCCCCGAAGAGAAAACAAGCGTTTCATGGGGTTTGCTGCAAGTGCGGTGGTGCCGCGGTGCCGTGGTGCCATCACGCCGGAGTCGTCCTTGATTCGCGCAATCTAGACCTCTGACGGCGTCTGATAAGGGAACGCCACACGCCGCAGATAGCGGCAGCGGGACGGAGCGGGGCGGAGCGCCGGCAGATTCCCCCTACGGCCGTCGGCCCTGCCGCCCTGCCGCCCCGCCGCCCCGCCAAATACGCTCTCTCTCTCTCTCTCTCTCTCTCTCTCTCTCTCTCTCTCTCTCTCTCTCTCTCTCTCTCTCTCTCTCTCTCTCACCCCCTCTCTCTCACCCCCTCTCACCTCCTCTCACTCGCACGCATATTGAGACGCCGGCTGCCACCTTCCCCGCGTAGCGTACACAGCACCCTGCTGTTCCGCCGTCGATGACGGGAAGAAAGTGCGTCCGTCACTGCGGCCCCGCGAGGAGGCCGCGAGGAGGCCGCGAGGAGGCCGCGAGAGGCCGCGGGGGGCCGCGAGGAGGCCGCGAGGAGGCCGCGAGGAGGCCGCGAGGAGGCCGCGAGGAGGCCGCGAGGAGGCCGCGAGGAGGCCGCGAGGAGGCCGCGAGGAGGCCGCGAGGAGGCCGCGAGGAGGCCGCGAGGAGGCCGAGAGCGCCCAGACAAAGAAGCGACGCCGAGAAGGGCAAGTGAAAGAGCGCGACGAATGGCGGATTTTTCATCCACCACGCGTGGGGCACGGCCGGGCACGGCGGCAGCGATATCGCTCGGGGGTGGGGCGGGGCGGGGCAGTTGACAGAAAAGAAGATGGAAGTCGACTGCTGCGCACTGCTGCGGAGGAAGGCGGCTGGAGTTCCAGCGTTCCAGCCCCACTCCAGCAGACAGCTCCAGGCTTGAGGCCTGCGTGGCTTGGCCGTGGCTTGGCCGTGGCTCGGCCTGGCCTCGCTGGGCTGTCCAGGGAAGGGGGCTGGGAGCCGCTCCATGGAGCCGCTGCGGGGGAGGTATGAGATAATATCGCAAGAAGAATAGGGGTCGCTCAGAGATGCCCATGCCTAGCCCTGCCTCCCCTCTCTCTTCTTTCCTTCCCCGTCCCAAGAAGGGGCTGTTTTCCCGAAGCATTCCTGCCGCCGACGGCGACGCGGGGCGGGGCGGGGCGGGAGCGCGGCGATACCCGTGCAGAAATCGCAAGAACCCTAGGGCAACTTCTTTGATAAAAGATTGGTGAGGTTAGGTTCGGCTGTGTTTTCTTTAAGGGTTGCTGTGCGGGGTGCATTGGGTCTTCCAGGCGGTGGACGGCGACCCCGTGCGACCTCTCAGGATCGCACGCAGGCGCGTGGGTCAAGAAGGAATGGGCACTCGGTTTGCCGGCGTCACTTTTGACGTGTCAATGCATATTTTTGTCTCCACACTCGAAGATAAGATGCTATCAACCTTGCCACTGGATCCTCAGCGCTCGGCGCCACAGGCTCCGGACGGGAGGCAAGGAGTACTGCCGCGTCACTACCCCCCGCGCGCGCGGGGTCCCTGGCGCGCGGAGTCTATTTTAAACAGGCCCCCAGTTCAACGGACGGAGTATAAACCGTGACAGTGACCTCAACAAGCTGAGCGAGCGCAAACAGCGGCCAGGACGATACGAGTATTTGATGTCGCGAAGTGACAACAGTGCATTCGTGAACCAGCCGTTGACTTCGGGCGGGTCAGGATCGGGTTGCACCCAGAGGCCATTCAGTAGCGTGGAACATGGGCTTTGCAGAGGTGCGATCTCTGGCAACCAACGGCAATGTCTGACTTCCTTCATGCACTTGGACCATTCTTTTCGGCTCCAGGTTTCGGCTCTTTGGACGCTGGTGGTGGCGGCGGCGGCGGCCCTGGCCGGAGCCGCCGAAGTGCTGGTGGTCCTCCCACAGACGTCGCACAGCCACCTGCGCTGCAACACGGCAGTGCCGCGCGCGCTGGCGGAGCGCGGACACAACGTCACCCTGGTGGTGCCCTGGCCGCCACACGGCGACACCAGCATGTTCAAGAGCGTCATCGTCGTCGGGGACTGCACCGACGCGTACGGGGGATTCTGTGAGCATCTCCGGGTCCGGCATGGAAACCACCCCGGTTCGGTTCGCCTGGCCAGTGTTCGGACTTTGGCTCGCACTTCATGTGTCCGAACACTGCTACTCGTTGTTCTCGTAGTGATATCACATTTAACTGTTCGCAGTGATGCGCGAGTACAAGAAGAGGGGCCTGTTTTGGCTGGGTAGGTGTCTCACATCCGCGACGCTCTATGTCCCAGCATTCAAATAACCCCGGACCGGAACTGCTTTGCCGTAGAGAACATCAGCTACCTGACGCCGGGGCTCCTGCAGCCCATGTCCATGTGGTTCTTCGTGTGGAAGTACGGCGACATGATGGTGGAGCACACGCTGCAGCATCCCGCCTTCCGCCGCGAGGTGCTGGACCGCCCCGACGCCCACTACGACGTCGTCCTGAGCGAGCTGCTGATGCAGCAGGAGGCCTTCCTCGGCCTGGCGCACCACTTCGACGCGCCCCTGGTGGCGCTGCAGCCCAACGCCAACCACGCCAGGGTGGCGGCGCACATGGGGGGCCCCACCAACCCCGCCTACGCCAACGACCGCTGGCTGCAGGCAGCGGGCAGCCTGGACTTTTGGCAACGGGCGAAGAACGTTCTGTGAGTTTTGTTTAGTGACTGGGACTAGCCGCCCCTCGTGCATGTGCTCATGGCGCTGCGACCTGCCACGCAGCCTCTACCTGTACTCCCAGGCTGGACTGTACCTCTACCACCTCCCGAGGCAACGCGGCCTGCTCCGTCGGTTTTTCCCCGACGCGCCTTCACTGGAGGAGCTGGAGGAGGCCCGCCTGGTCCTCACCGTCTACAACGACCACCCGCTCCTGACGTACCCCATGGCCCTGCCGTCCAACGTGGTCCGGGCGCCCCTCGCGCACCTCCAGCCGCTGCCGCTCCCACAGCGGTTGCAGGGCTTGCTGGACAACGCGACGGCGGGGGCGATCGTCTTCAGCCTTGGCTCCCTCATGATGCCGTCCGAGATGCCTGCGAGCGTGCAGTCCGCCTTCATGACGGCCTTCGGGGAGCTGGGCCACAGTGTGGTGGCGAGGTGGTCTGACAAACCGCCCACAGCCAACGTCCCCGACAACGTGCACCTCGAGACATCGTGGATGCCCCAGGACGACCTTCTGGGTAGGTCCTCACGTCCCGGCTGTCACGGCCATTTGTCGGGTCCCTTCGCATGACGTCATTGTGTTGTCTTTGCGTTGCTGCCGCAGCCCACGCCAACACCCTTCTGCTGGTGTCGTCGTGCGGCTGGACGAGCGTGCAGGAGGCCATGTGGTACGGCGTGCCCGTGCTGTGCATGCCGCGCTTCGGCGACCAGTTCGCGACCCTGGCCGTCGTGGAGGAGCTGGGCGTGGGCTTGGCGTTGTCGAAGGAACGCAGCCTCGCCGACGTCCGCCAGGCCCTGCAGACGCTGCTGCAGCCCGACAACAGGTTGAGGCTCGTGCCCAGAATCCACATAAAGTGACTGTCAAGGCCTCGTCGCTGACCTTGGTCGTGGCCATTGCAGGTACCGGCGAGCCGCGCAGCGCCTGGCACTGCTGCTGCAAGACCAGCCGGTGCCCGCCCTGGACGTGGCCGTGGAGGCCGTGGAGCACGTAATTCGGTGGCGCGGCGCCGGCCGCTACCGACGGCCCTCCGCCGCGCGTCTGCACTGGCACCAGCTCGTCCTCCTCGACGTCGTCCTGGTCCTCGCGCTGGCCGGCCTCGCCCCCGTGCTGGCGGTGGTTGCGTGTCGGCGTCGCCGGCGGGGCTTCAAAGCGGCATCCTTACGGGAGAAGGTCGAGTGATGTCAACCGACGCTGTTTGTCCCCAGCACACTCGTGGAAAGCCCCGTCGCGAACCAGCGGCGCTTGCGTCTCACAGACACTCATAGGTCGTTCCGTTTTGTTGGGAGGACAGATCTCACGCGCTCGGGAAGTGTACTTTGGCTGGACGAGAACCTAGCTCACCGGATGGATTGCATACTCAGACTTCCAAGCACAGAGACTTCCCTCAGCCGGCATAGGGGACTGCCCCCCCCCCCTTTCCCCCTCCTCCCCGCTTTCGGTGGCTTGTGATAAGGAATGGACTCAAAAGGAGTGCAGTGCTATGAAACATAATCTTTAATCATGACCAAATAAGACATCACAAACTCAACTTTAAAAAAATAAAAATCACATAATAATTTTTACAATCTTCATTAAGTTTCTTAAACCTAGTAAATAAGAGAGACAGAGAAATTGCTACAGTAAAATTGCACATTATCAACAGGAAAACATATTTGAATCATGAAATAAAATGTTCAATGGAAGTTATTGGACTTCTTGCAGATTTTAAAATGCCAGTTAATTTTTGAGACTGCCTTAAGTCTACTTGCTTGTTTACAATAATCTGTGAGATGCAAATTTGCATGAACCGTATGTCCTTTATTTGTTTCTCCAAGCTTTGCTTCAATTTAAGATTGCTGTAAAATAGGAATAACCACAATATTAATAATGACACAATAAATGCGGCATATTTATGGTAAAAGAAAAGGAACATTTACTCACGTCTCAGAATCCGCTTCAGAATTTCCATCAAGTTTCTCTTGGTCGTCTTTCAGTGATGCAGTAAATTGAGAGAGCCGATCTAAAAGCTTTTCTATTCCTTTTTTCTGTTTCAGTTTCTCATTTCTGATAGATTTTGAAAGTTCAAGGAGCTTTGCTTGATTGGCACAGTGTTCTTTTAGTAAAGTGTCAAGGCCACTGGAAAAAAAACAAGCATAAAATTTTAATGAATCACTTAGTTTGAAGGATAGCCAATCTTTTCATCAAAACCCCTCTGCAATGCTTACTCATTAGGACTGTCACTAGTGACAATTTCGCAAGCAAGTGTAGAAACTTTTATTTGTTTCAGCATCTCTTCTTGAATGCTCAAATAATGGAACTTTTCTTCAATTACGTTGAGGCTTTGAGTAACATCTAAAACGTCTTGTGAACTTCTGGATCCTTTTGATAAATCTGTAAAAAAAAAAGTCAGAATAAAAGAAACAAATCCCAATAGATATGACTGAAAAAGAGATTCAAGGTGCTTAAAATCAGAAATTCAATTTCTCACCTCCTGCTAAATTAGCTGAATTCATCAAAAGGCGAGCTCGCAGCAGTTTCAATTTTGCCAAAACCTCATCATATCTTGCAACTGTCTGCTCAAATTCAATTTCCTCAGGAGAGAGTGGGACGTTTTCTACATCCTCTTCATCCATTGATTCCATGCTAAACATCAAAAGATAAAGAAACACAAGTGTCAATTTTATATGCTACTTAGGTTATAAATGGGCTGATAGAATAATAAATTACCTTGACGATTCCTTTAGAAGGTAAACTCTCAAAAAAGAGTAAGACAGATATCAAGAGAAAGGAGAACACGGTTAATTTCGATTAGTAACAAATTGGTATTGTTAAAGGAAGACTTGTGGTTTGAAGCTTGTTTGTTTATGTTGTTTTCATTTCACTTGGGACAGTAATTCGCGCCAAAGTTTGTATCGTGTGTATACGGTTACCGTTATTTGCACTTGGGGTTCCATAACCAAAACACCCACCGGTTGCGTGCGAGCGGCGGGACAGACCAGAAAAGCGAAACCAAGGCAAAGAAAGGAGTCTTTCGTCAAAAACAAATAATGACTGAAGAGAAGGAAAATTTGGATGTTGCTGAGGAAGAGAAGTCTGAGAAGCTCGTGAAACTGCCGCTGTCTCGCATCAAGAGCATTATTAAAATGGATCCTGATGTCAATTTAGCTAGTCAAGAGGCTGTATTTTTAATAGCAAAATCAACGGTAAGCTAATACTAGTGCTCCGTTCTGTTTTCAACCTATTTATCTTATATGCTTTATGTAAGAAAACTGTTCTGTTGTCATTCACTTATAAATTTCTTGCTTTTGAATCTCAATTGCAGGAACTGTTCATTGAATCGTTGGCACGAGAAAGTTATACACACACTGCAATGGCAAAGAAGAAGACAGTGCAACGGAAAGATATTGATGCAGCTATTTCTTCATCTGACTCACTGTTGTTTCTGGAAGGTGCTTTAGACTCATAGATTGAGAAAGCTTTGCCGGTGAGGATGTGATTTCCTTCCTTTGTAAGACTGAGAATGCATGATTGTGAATTTTTACTTCCATTTCATAATTAATACAATGTTTTGTTTTATCACTTGTTTTCTTATTCCTTTATCCCTTTTCTGCTCAAGACCTATTGATCTTTGTGAAGCATGCTCTCTCAGAAACACTTCTGTTCAGCCAGTGGCAGTTCAATATTTATTGAGACAGTAAGGAAAAATGATAATTGAGAAAGTTGTCGTCAAAGACTATCATTTTATTTTCAGAATTCTTTTGTCATTGAAGTTCACAATTAGAGGCTTTCCGGTAAGAGGAAGCTTAAACAAAAACATCACTCAAATTCAGAGTTACATATTTATGACTCGGGGCATAATGATGAAGAAAACGTCATATCATTTTTGGGTTTTGAGTGGCAAGAACCTTCATACGCTATGTAGGAAGTAAACAATACCTTACTATTGAAATAAACATGCACTAAATAAGCCATTGTGCATTTATACTGTAAAAAGGGCAATGATAGTGACAAATCAACATTGTCAGGGATTGCAAAGATATCTAGAGAGAAAAGAGAAACTTTGTCTCTTATGGGAAACCTAATGAGAATCTCATACAACAGCAGTCAGTAGTTACACATATGTCTGTCTTTTACAATACAATCACATAAAACTTATCTAGGTCTTTACAAATGCTTTTACAATCAGGATGATGTTTAGAAAAACAAACAAGGTTACTATTATGCTACAACACATCAGGTCAATTAACTTAATTCCAGAAATAATAAGAACACATCTTAATCATAAGAATATTAAACCCATTAATGAAACTCAAGGTTACACATTGAAAATCATTAAGAAACAAATTTGTTCTGTGAAAACATTTTTAAAATATTCACATAAAACATACAGAGCAGCAAAGCTGTAAGACCAAGGTTGATACTAAATTAGGAAAATATAAAGAACTCAAATTCAGGCCAACAAAAGCTGTATTTGTTGGTAGATTGTGTTCTATACTATGGAACTTAGGTTTTCAACCAAATCAAAGACAATCTAGGCAGCTGTGTAACGAAACTTTCGCAGAACAATTGAAAATATGAAGGCTTAAGAAATAAAATCTCAATGTATTTTAATTAGTACTGAACAGTACTGCAGTCAAAATGTGCTAATCCATTGCAGACTAACAGAAGAATATACTAGCTCAAAATGACAGAATCAAAAATACCTGTCATCTGATACTAAGTTACATTCTACTTCATTCATTCCAACAGCCTGGCGTTTTGCTTTGGACACTACTCAGATACCAGGACCAGGCATTTTTTTAAGACAACGAAAATATACATTCTTATTAAGAAAATATGCTGACGGCCTTCCAATACAAGGGCTTCAGGCTCATGTCAAATGCCACCATAGAAATTCATGTCTAGTTTTAATGCCATAACTGAGGCAAAACAACAATTTCGTAAAAACAAAAAAAAATAACTTGTTCAGATCCAAACAAAGCCCACAGAGAATTTTTTTAAATAATAATTTACTTGCAATTAAGTTAAGTGACCCTGCTCACTCACACACTTCTTAAATACCGAGATTAATAGTAGATATTAGCATCACAAGTTCAATCATTGTTTCAGGAGTCATCTATATGAATAAAAGTAAAATTTATTATTTGTTGCGCTTTCCCTTCTTTCGATTACGTGCGGTGTCCTGACGGTTAGGAACATTAGTGCTTGCAGAAGTGTCCCCAGGAGGAGGTGTCCCCTTGCTACCACCCCCTGCCTGGTTGTAAAGAGAACTGAGGAAATTCTCCAGATCAGGCTCACTGTAAAGTCACAAACAGAATGAACAATGGAAAATTGAGGAAACTGTTTGCAATCAATGAATGAACAGAAATAAGCAGGTGTTCAAGCCATGAAAAAAAAAAAAAGAAGGTTTGAGTGAAAATACCTGGGTGCACGAGGACTTTGTTGACGTTGACGACCAAGAACTATACGGTACTGAACAGTGTGAGAGTTCGGTTTGAGGTGACGGAGATTATTGGTCTGACATGAAGCCCAGTCAGTGATGTCATAAACTGCTCCCTCCATACACGCATAGTAATGCCATAGAAATCCCATGACCATCGTCTCGGCCCATATGTCACCCTGAAAGTTGGTCAAATCAAACATTACTTTTGGTCACTTTTCTTTATAAAAGAAAATACTAAAAAGGATTTCATCTACCTCCTTAGCGGAGTGCTTTATCTTGCACTGAGCACAAAATCTTGCAGCAAATGGTTTGCGAGGTACAGCTATTCTCTTATGTCTCTTTCCACAATTTGTGCACCTGCAAAGAGAATAATGAGTTCCCTTTTTTTTATTATTTTTTCCCCAAACAATAGGAGGAATAATATGCAATTGATTTTACCTGATAGTGTTGGCAGCATATTCCATTTTCTGATGTAATTGAGATAACAGGTCACTTAGCTCACTCCAAGCTTGTTCCACCTGTTGGGTTTCTGCTACATATCGGTCGTACTCTGTCCTTTTTTCCTAATGAATACAAGGGAAGGATAAGTAACAACAAAAGAAATGTGTCAGCAAATAAATTATGACACTGTACTTACAGGTTCTCCAATAAGTTCAAATGCATGTACAAGAATTTTGAAAGCTTCCTCAGCACCGGGCTGATTATTTTTATCAGGGTGGACAAGAAAAGCTTGGCGTTTGTAATATTTTTTGACATCATCATCAGAACAATTTGGTGTTACTCCTAAGATGCTGCAAAGTGATTGGAAATGTTAGATATTCACAGATGTTAGAAATACAAACCAGGATGATACAATTATGCTGTTCTGTTTTCACCAAATGTTTTTTACCAATTAATGTAAACATACCTGTAAGGATCCTTGCCTTTACAAGCGAGGAGTCTTTTCATAGCTTCTTCGCCAGTAGATGGCATAGATATGTTATGAGAAAGGCCTCCTGGAATAACACTGTCTCGTCCCTCAGCACCACGAGTACTTTTCTTTGAACCATTCCTAGCTTGATCTCCAGGGTCGTTCTTGCCTAGACACTGGCAGATAAATCGCCAGAATCGGGAATGAACAAGGCGTTCTGGAAGTACATGAGGTAAACGGCAAATACATTTTTGAAGCCAATTAGCTGAGCTAATCACCCAATTTTCCCAAAACACCAAGCACCTGCAAAAGGAAATGCATTATGCAGAATTTATTCAATTCACGTAAAATGACTCAATAAACCTCAGAGACTGAGACTAAGTAACTCACAAATGCAGGGAGAGTCTAATACTCATTCCTATTACATCCGTTAGAAGATGGAAAAACCATATGATAGCGGCAAAAGCCAACTGACCATATTTTCGAAATACCAGAGCTGCAATAGAAAATTTTTAAACATAAACTTTTTTCTTAAAAGAAAAAAAAAAAGCTCTATAAAGGGATAAATTACTGTACGCACATGCAGCAGTTACTCCATCTTTCCTTCGAGAGCCTCGTTGATTCCGTTTGCTCTGCAGAAGAGCAGCTTTATCAGCCATGCTACTCATCGAACCACGACCAGAACGGCTTGTCACACCACTGCTACTGCTTCCAGAAGCACTCTTGCCATCATTTTTAGATCCTGACATATGAAATGTAAGCATTAGTAAACAGCAACCAACCCTCTGACAAAAAGAAGCCAAGTCAGCCAGTACAAGGGCATACCTTTCCTTTCATCTGAGTTAGTGCGTCCACTTTTACTTGCTCGGGCAGATTTATCAAATTTGCTAGAATTACTAGGCTGACTTGGTGTTTGCTGATTGGCCCAGTGAGAACCGTGGTTTGTACCAAGGTTATTATTGATATGAATGGGCCTCTTAGTTGAGTTAGACCCCATCACACTACCACTCTTAGAACCTCCAGGACCTACTTTGTAGTTATTCAAAAAACTCTCATCAAAACCTATTATGTGAAACAAAAGACACATTAAAGAAGATTGTCATAGTTTTAAAAAAAGGCCAAGGTTTAATAGAATAAAATGCAGTAAAAACTGGTCTTAAAATCAAAACATTTACCAGAATGTGGTGATTGTTTAGCACTGCCATGAATGCTTGACCTGCCAGATTTATCAGAAGATTTTTTATCATTTGGCTGAGGGCAAGACTCCTGAGAACTTCCCGTTTCAATGAAGACATGTGAAACATCCACGCTGCTAACATCACTCTCCAAATCATCCAAGGATGCCCATCGCCGTGAAAGTGACGTAGGTGAAGAGTTTCCAGGAACAGAGTCATCAAAATCGCCACTGGATGAAGATGATAAACCAGATGACTTTGATGCTGTGGCAGTACTTGGTCCATTTTTGGCACTGAAATTTAAGAGAAAGTAAAAATACAATTTTGTGTCATAGGTAGAACTTTAAACAACAGTAATCAGTGTAGCATGCAACACGCACTTTGCGTCATCGTTTCCAGTTGAATGCTGCCTCTTCAATTTGCCCCCTGCGCTCAAAACACCATTGCTTTTTGAAGAGTTTTTACCTTTCCCACTACTAACACTACTTGTGCTTTTGGGACGAGCAGCATCTGCATTTATCTTGTTGGTTGCATTTGTTATCAAGGCTGCGGTATGGTTATTGTTTCCATTGGCTGAGTTCACATTGTTGATGGGCAATGTTGGTTTCTGCGGTGAAGGAACTGGAGACGGAGTAGTCAAAACAGCAGAGTATGATGGCCTCATGGGCCGCACTTCAGCTACAATACGAGTCCTGGAAAGTCAAAGGAATACAAAGAAACATAATAAAAAGGATGACATAAAAATCTAGAACATAATTAATAAACTGGCCTCAATGATAAGGTATACAAACCTGCGAACACTCTTGTCATTCTTCTTCGGCTGCTCAACTTCTTTGACACTTTCAAGAGCAGGCTCATTACTTTCATTCAAAGCCAAACCAAAGGGATTATATCGCCCAGTTTGATTAGGGACAGTCCAGTTCCCAACCAAATTCTGAATGAGTTGGTCTTGATTTTGAGAGAATGGGGCAGAAGACGAAGCATTCTTGGCAGTTTCTTGCAGGAACAGATTTTGATTTTGATGCTGTTCTTGTTGCTGTCTTGCTTGTGGCTGTTGCTGTTGCTGTTGCTGCTGCTGCTGCTGCTGCTGCTGCTGCTGCTGCTGCTGCTGAACTCTGTGCAGAAGGTCATGCTGAAACTGTTGAGACTGTGCAGCATTTAGGATTTGTTGAAACTGCTGATTTTGAAGATGCTCATTGAACAGTGTCTGCGACTGATGAAGCATGCCAGGAGGACCATGATGTGGTATTCCTGGACGAGACTGATGCTGAGGAGATTCGTTCTCAGGTGTTCTAAATTGCAGATGCTGTTGCCTCATTGTTTGGACCTAGAAAAGAAATCATTCAATCATCAGAATTGTAGTTGTTGTTGAGTTACAGTAGTGCAAACACAGTAAATTTTACGTGTCGATAACAAAACTAACCTGTTGAGATGGCGTAAACAATCCATAGTTGGCAGAAAGCGCACAATGTTGCCGGTTTGATTCATTTTGATTTGAATGGGGAAGGATGTCATCCAGAGATGGAGGAAGAACATTGTTCACAGCCGAGCTTGAACCAACTGGCAAATATTGCGGATTGACAGTGCCCCCATGGCCTCCGCTGTATCTGACGTTTACAAAGTTGCCACCGCCAACATCCACCATAGTCCCAACTAGTTCATTGCTGTCAGTCTGTGTAGCAGTTGCGGATTGGATAGGCTGGCTGAAAAAGTCTTGACCTTTCACTCCCTGGGGCTCCACTTGATATCCTGGAGGCGGCTGGTCTGCTTGAAAAAACACAGGCAGATTGGGCTCTGCTCCTCCCAGCATGAAATATGGTTGAGTCTGGCGACTTGGTGCTGCCGCTCCTGGCCCTCCTGGCCCCGCTCCGTTGAAGCCCGGACCTTGGACTGGACTTGGGACTGCCACCGGAGCTGCTCCGTGCCAACCGGGCCAGACATGGGAACCAGAACCGTGCGGGACAGCAGCCTGACCTGGACCAGGGCCTCCAGGGGGCAGGCTGTAGCTATGCCACTCTGAGGTCATGTGGTTAATGATGTCATCCAGCGGGGTCTTCTTGCCCTCACTTGCACGGTCTTCCATTTCTTCACAATGTCCAACGATGGAAAGAGTTGGTCAGCACTCTCATTGCACTCTCTCTCTCTTGCCAGACCCTTCTCGCTGGCAAAATATAAACATGTTTACAGCAGCCTTTCTGGGTTAGCTCGAGCAGCTCGTCCTGCTACCAACGCTAAGGCCTTCAAGGGACGAGCTATCGGCACAGCAGGCGTCTTAAAATTAGCATTCAACTAAGCCAAGAGCACAAAGAGTTAAATCACACTGAAATTTGTTACCATAGGATATTTATCTTTATTTCATTGCCATTTTATTTTAGGCCTACGCACTGCACTTGCACGGTACTGAACATGGTATTCTTGTTTGTCTTCTTCTGTCCGATGGTTTAGCAGCGTCCGTCTCTATCTGTAATCCCTCTCAGATTTCACCGTTCAGCGTTTGTATTCCGGGGCGGGAGTCTTCTATCCTCTAAATTAAATTTCTTGTCTTGTTTATTAAAGTTATTTTTGAGTTTTTACTCATGTTTTATTGAGGAACACGTCGACACTGAGACACTTGACACACTTGCCGCTTCCGGAGGTTTGAATGCGATAGGCGGGGAAAAGCAGAGAAAAGGGGGCTAAAGAGGGAAGGAAAGAGATAGAGAAGTTTAATCTTGTGGGGCAATTAATGACTTTTATTTCTGGTATCTAACATAAAATACACTGTATACAATTATCGATTCTAAAAATGAGTTCATTATATATTTAGGTGTTGAGATAGTTTTCTATATACAATTATGATTAACACCCAATTTTGAGGTCAAAGTCAAAGTAAACATAAACATACATTCCTGAATAAAATGAGATCTTTTAGATCTTATAGAACAGGATAACATTAAGTGGGGCAGGTACCAAATCTCAGAGCAACTTAAAATCAAATGAAAATGAAAATGCACTAACGTGTTAAGACAGGAAAGTAAGGCACAAATGTGTCTTAGATTTCATTAGAGTTAAAACACAACATCTGCTGAGGCTGATGGCTCTGGGCTAGGAGTTGAACTTAAAGAACTCATTGAATCTTCTTTTGTACTGTGTTGACTTCCATCCATTTCTTTATTATCCTTATCTTTATCTTTGTCCTCATCTTTGTCTTTCTCTTTACTTTTATCTTTGTTCTTCTTATCCTTTGCAAGCTTATGATGTTTATGACGTTTGTGGTGTTTATGTTTTTTCTTTTCTTTTTTCTTTTTCTTGGGCTGAAAATGAGACGATCACTTGAAAGACAATTCCTACAACAGCTCAAAAATATTAAAATAAAACCTCCTGAGAAAACCTACCTTATTACTGGCATCTACTTTGCCAGTGGTCTTGGATTGCCCTGCAGTATCAGAAGCTGGAACAAATGCTACAGCACCCTTAAACATGCCTGGTTCAAAGCCGACAGGTCCATGTCTGGGACCTGCAAGACCTGGCAGTGATGCGGAGTTATCTGAGAAATATTCTGCCTTTACAGGGGCGTTGTTTGAGCTTTGAGATAAAGACGAACTGGTAGAAGCATTGGGTGCAGCAGCCACAAGCTCCTCCTAAAGAACAGGACAAGACAATAAAACATTATAGCTCAAGATTATTTTCTTGCAATTCAAGATTAAATAATTTTATATGAATTTAAAATTTGAAATGGCAGGCTGGCATACCTTTATTCGGACTTTTCCTTCGTCACCAGCAACAACTTCAACTGTTATCAGTTCAAGATTGTCATCTGCAGATATAACTTCAGGGCCCCGGTCTATTGTTAATGGTGATGTTGCTTTCCGCTTAGAACTTTGGGGCACCTCATCAATAAAAATAGGACCAAGGTCTACCTCCTCTTGTAATTCTACCTCGGTCTTAACCTTAAGCAAAGTTCAGGAAAAAGAAAAATATTAATATATGCAGATGACACATGGCTGATTCATGTAAAATGAAACAAATCTTACATCAACTCCAAATTCAAGTTGAGTCTGTTCTTTTTCTGCTGCTCTCTCCTTTTCCCTCTTCTTTTCTCTTTCCCTTTCTCTCTCCCTTTCCCTTTCTTTTTCCTTTTCTTTCTCCCTTTCTTTTTCCCTCTCTTTCTCCCTCTCTCTGTCCATTCTTTCCTTCTCTCTTTCTAGTCGATCCTTCTCACGAATTCTCTCTCGCTCCCAGTCCAAGTCATGGTCTGGGTCAATATCGTGGCCATGGTCAAGGTCATTATCTCTGTAGCTGTCAAACGTTGGACTAACAACTCTTTCCGGTTTAAGGAAGGATAATTCTTGTTGCGCAAGGCAAAATGGTCGTCGTGTACCATAAAGAGCATAATACAAGTCAACCATATCACACCGCTGTGGAGTATCGTGAGACAGCATTCCACTAGAAGAAAAGAAAGAGACACATTTATTATCACAGAATTTAAGATTAAAAAGCAATAAACTATCATGAATAATTTTCATGTGTGCTAATCTTTAAAGATTCAAAAAGTTTTCAAAAAGCTAATTAAGATAAATAACTGTACTTTATGTTAGTCCATAGCCTCTCCACTAGTTCTTCCTTATCCAAACGACTTCTTTGTGCCTGGCTGAAGGGTGGATTTTCAATCAACATTCGGAGTAATTTATGGCGCACCATATGGTCTGGATCATTTTCAGCTATGTCTAAAAGGAATTCTAGGTCTTCCCACTTGCCATCAGCCCTTGTAAAATCTACAAGTGCTTCTAAAGCTGCCAATCGGACCTCTGTCACATGAAACAAATGAAGATGTTAATACAACATAGCAGAAAATTACATAAATAATTGCAACAATAAAATTTAACATGAGATAGACAAAGAGGAATAAGTGAAACTCACCAATAAAAACCCCATATTGAGTATAGGATCTAAAAATTTGTGGCTGACTAGGTAAATGGCCAAATTTCTGAAGCTTGCGGATAGTACGTAAGCATGCTGCTGAAACAACTTGTTTGTAACAGGGTAACTTCTTCTCCAAGTTCAAGCAGCGCACAACTTCTTCTAATATAGCTTTTGTATCAGAAGTGAGAGTCTCACTAGAAATGTTTCTGAAATACAAAACAAGAAAAAAACAAATAAGGGGTTAACTTTTTAATGTGAAAAGCCACCTTTGTTCTTGTCCTGCAACTTACCCATGTTGCATTCCAACAACAGACACTACTGGTGTGATTGTCTCTCCTAATGCATCAATTAGAGCAGCTCTATAATAGTTATCTGAGTAGCGGTTCTTACTGTTGTCATTGTATTTGAATAAATCCAACAACAGTCTGAGAACATCCGGAGGGCAGATGCTCAATGTGTTTCTTAAACCTGCCATTGCCAGAGGAATAGTCTGCCCAGGGAGAAAAACCATCAGGACATTCAAAACATTGTAATACTTCACTTTTCACAAACTTTTAAAGAAATAAATCACCTTTTGTAAAAAGTAATGTTGTAAGTTAGTGAAATTGTTTTGTTTCACTATGTGAGGACAAGATGCAGAGCCAAAATGCTTCTGAAAGATAGTGTGCATTGCAGATGGACCAGACCATGTAGCAACTAATGCATTTGCTACTTTGGTCAAACAGTGGGCAGCTTGACTACGTACTTTATAATAAGCAGACTCATTTTCAATAGTATATGTGAGCGCATGACGAGATGCCGCAGTAGGAAAGCGTTCAAGCGCCGCAATGGCATCAAGTTGTGCTGTGACATCGCGTTCGTGCCTCAGCTCATACTGCCACATGTAGTCTGGTTGTTCAATAAACACTGACCTCATTATTGTCATGTCAGTATCAAGTCTGACCCATAGAACAGGTGAATCAGCACTGTGATGAGGCAAAAAATAGGGTTAATTACAAACATTGATTATTATCAATCAATCTACCAATATATGGTTTAATAATAAAAATTGGAGTAGTAAAACTTACTCCATTGCACTTAAGTCCATATCCACTTCTTCACCAGTACACAGGGGTATTTTTTTCTTTTTGTTTCTTCGACTCTTGGAGTGGCAGGTGATATCTGTTTTAGATGGTGTTCCTTCCACCTGTTGTTGGTGCTTGAAGGTCCCATCCAATTCTTGAATTGTGACCACTAAAGGACCCATATACTTCCTAATACCTCTCTGATTTAATGAATCCTGTTTAATCTCAAGTTCAACAGTATTCCTGCACAATGAAAGAATGAATCCAAATGATGTAGGCTGAACTAATTTTTTCTTAGGGGAAGAAACTTTTAAAAATTACCTTTTGCGATTAAATACAAAACTGAGGTGGAACTTGGCATGCCCTCCTGTCCGAACCCACTGATCAACAAATACAGCCATGTCTTTACCAGTTACAGTGAAGATTGCTTTGGTAAAAACAGTTGTACTTATGAGCATGTGAGACCACTGATTGGAAGCTTGTTTTTCCTTGGCAGCAATGCCAGCCAACGACAGTTGCTTATTCAGTACCTGTTACAGGGCCAAAATCAAAGACATCAGTGTACTGTAGTATTTCAACAACGAAATTACAACACAACTTGAAAGGAATCAATATACCTGCAACAGCAGTTCCAGGCCAATGCGATGTTCAAGCATTCGCATAATGAGGTGAGCCTTTTTCCTCTGCATCTCAAGGTATTTAGGAGACATTGTGTGCAAAGATCTTGTGGAGAAGTAAAACGGCTGTTGTTGAGGATTTCTTTGAGGAGCCAGGGGAGATGTTGAAGATACAGGGAGGGGTGCAGGCTGTTGACTAGGGTCTAGCACTATGCCACCATACATTTCCTCATATTTTATCACTTCCTCAAGTTCCTAGAGAGAATGAAGAGGTAACATTATAGAATTTTCATAACCCGGCTCTGCCACCAAGACACTTGTTTATAGTGTAATAAGTAAGTAAATCTATCCAATAGCACTTACCGATCGGATCCATTCTCTGTATTCATTGTTGCCAAAACTTTTTTTGCAATAAAGACCACAGAGGTAGGAGGAAATGCCCTGTGGAAGCCAATTGTCACCCCAATGTTGCATGGAAATAAAACATCCAAAGAATTGCTCAGCAATAGCCAAAGCCATGGCTTTTCGTGTTATGTATGTTTGGTCAATTATTGCTGCGGAATGCAGGAGATTTACACTGGAAAGAATAAATAGCGACTAAGAGAATGTTCAGCAATAAGGATAGTTATGTATACAAAACTTTTCATACAATATTTGTGCAGCATACCTCATTATACTCATGGTTGCATAAGCTGCAACTTCCTCTGGTGTTTCGTCAACAAATACTTGCTTGTAGCAAGAGTACGGATACCTCGAGCCTAATGTTTCTTCATAAAATTCAAATGCTTCATGCATGTACCTTGCAGAAACTTGGAGGAGAGGAAGCAACTGGGGCAGGCAGAAATGTGTAACTTCATGCATGTATGGGTCCACAAACATTTCAAATGGTCTGTGCACAAAATAAAATGCATAATGATAAGATAAGATTGAATTTACAAAATGTTATTGATTATTAATGACTAGTTTCAAAAGTAATAAACTCTAAAGCACATACCCAACAGCCAGAGCAATATTTGGTGCTGATGCAGGAACGGATAGCACATAGTGGAATGTTTTCCTTCTCATGTCTTGAGTGTAGACTACTTCAACTAATTCACCACATGATACAGCTGTCATGCACTCATCCACAGTCAATTCTAGCTTCCATGTGCAGGGTTCAGCAAAACTATCAATGCAAGGAAACCATAGTCTTGAAGAATGTCCGTAAGTGAACATATGAGCTCCTTTCTGATTTTGAACAAAAAAAAAGGACACATTATGACTAAATAATAAAATTAATTAACCCAACAGAAGTCCTTGAGAGCCCCTACTTCATTTGGTGCTCCATCGCAATCTGGTACCACAAATTGGATTCCACCCTGAGGCTGCTCTAGAGAAAACTCAATGCCAACACGCACTGGTTGGCCCTCTCTGAAAAGGTGTTGTGCCGTTACAGGCACACTGATGACAAGTTCTCCTGCATTGTTATCTGGATCAATCTGTACAGCTGCTGTAAGGTGGGCATTTGTAAAATAGTCCAGAGATCTCCTGAAAATCAAATAAGAAGTGTTGTGTTAATAATACAGGATTATTAGAAATATTCCAAGCATACATAAACAAGGTTTGTGTGTTGCTAGATTAGACGCTCCATTCTTTCTTTACACAGCAGCTTCTGACAAATTGGTAAAAATTCAACTGACAAGATGGGTAGGATGGTTTTCATTGGTTCGGTAACATATTGATAAGGCTCTTAAGATTTAGGATTAAAGTTGAGGTTCGACATCAATTTTGGCTTCATAATCCTGATGTCTCCTCTCCTTAATATAATGCAATGCAAGTTATGCAAACATCTCCAAATACTTACTGTTTCGGTTCAGCCTGAGATATATCCAAGAATGGATCGAAGTATTGGAAAGGTGCTTCATACTGTTCATTGAGCGTCACTCGATAAATACGGCTCTGCTTGGCATTTAATTTAATGTGTCGGATGCTCTCTTTCAGAGGTACAATCGTCAACTCCACAAGTCCCTGTATAACGCACAGCAAGCCAACAGTATAAGAATCAGTATCGTATCAAAGGAAAAAAAGAAAATAAAAAACAAAATAAACTTTGATTTCATACAATTATACTTTTGCGCTGGAAGCTAATTCCTGTCAAGCTGACTATTTGATGAGCTGTGTTACAGAAAAAACACCCGAGTTAGACATGGCTTTCATGGAATACAAAACGGAAATTTTCTGAAAATATACAACAAAATTTTGTAGTACTCGAAACAAGTTGACTTGATAAACATGCATACTGACTGCAATTCTATGATAATAATATTGTAACAGGTTATGGGAACAAACTTTCCACAAAAATACTTATAATTTAAATGGCCGAGTGAAGTCTCCAGCCCGATCCTTCTTCATGGTGTGGAATTGATACGTCCCATCAATACGTTACATAGAACAACCTGAGATTGGCATAGGAATAACTGTAACCGGCGCTCCGGAAAATTAACCTCTTCCCTCTCTGTTGTGTATGTTTTTGAACGAACCGCGAACCGCAATACGCAGCGGAAAGAGGGGCGAGGGGGAGGGGGGTATCACATTGCATTCTGATTCTTATTGGTATTCGGTCACTCGGTTGGTTTGGTTGTCGGATAAAGTATGAGAAATTTTCTGTAGGGTCCACAAGTATTACAAAGGTTATATTGTTGATTGTTGTACCCATATTGTTACGGACGGACATAATGGACATCAAAGAAGGGCTTCATAACCCCTATGTAATGTGCCCTTATAATAGGGCACATGAAGTCCCAAAGTTACGACTTCAACGACATTTACTAAAATGTCGAAAGGTATTTTTGAAATATCTCAGGCAGCTTGTGTCTGATCTCTCTATTAGTTCCCTCTTTATTAGTTAATTTACTCATCAATTTGCTTTCCATTGACAGCAGTATCCCCATTTGTCAATGATGAAGACATGCCCATTTAATGCTACTCACGTGGTCCCACAGATGGAGCTAGAACTTCATTTGATGACTTGTGCAGAACGTAATCTTATTGAGGGACAGAAATATAGCTGTGAGTATTCCCCTGTATGTTGGCCATAGGCTGTGTTAGAAGCTTTTGATCATTCTTCCCTCTGCTCTTTCAGTGACTGCCACCCAGGGCGAGCTGGGCAACCCCTCTTACCACCCGGATGTTCCGGTTGGAGACTGGAGCGATGAATCTGACGAGGAAGACCTCCATGGTCCAGCTCTTCGTAATAACCATCGACGCAATCACCATCAAGTAGTCAGATCTGTGTAAGCTTAACTCTGCCCTCATATTTTCTATTGTGGTAATGGCCTCATTTGATGACTGGCTAACTTTTATTCCAGCCAAGAAGAGGACATTGATGATGGAGGCGCTCTTAGTCAGTTAGAGGACAGTCATGTAGATCCATGTAGGTTCCTTTTGTTTCTGTTTTTTTTTTCCTGAATGGCTGGTCAATTGGAGAGTTATGGCAATATTCATTGAAATATCCTTTTTTACAGCTCCGATAGGATTTGGAAGAGGTCGTATACATCGGCTGGTGGCAGAGATGAACACCAGAAAACCTTGACTGACTACAATACAAATCTGAGCTGAAGCAAGAATCGCTATATGTATAAAAAGTAATTGGTATTTTGGGAACTTTTGTCTTAATATTTTTCTTGGAGCAGATTTTTTTTTTTTTTCTCAAGCTGTGTGACATGTACAGGAATGGATGAATAATCTTACTGACCGCATTGTAAAGAATGGGAATTGGAGGTTTTGTTTGTTTTACTTCCTAGACAGTGTTGTGTAACTACTTGCTCAATAAGTATACAATTTGTTATAAACATTGGACCATTTTATTTACTTAGGTATCCCCAATGACTCGATACATTTACATAATCTGAAGCTTTAAAATTGATAGTCACAGATTTCAATTGTCAGTTTACCTTTAAATTCAGTTTTTTTCTGGGTTCCACATACATAGAGTGAGATATACGTAAATCTAGGTAAACCGTAGTTGGCAGCTAATTGAAAATTTGTCAGTAATCAAAACTAAATCCATCTATCAGGAAAAGGGACAATTTATTATAAGTAAAATATCAAACCCATTTTCTTAAGTAATGTATAATGGTAAGAAATTTCCCACAAATGAAACAAAAACCAAAATACTTCTTAAAAGTAAGTCTTGCAATTTCTGAAGAGAAGGTAATTTTAGGGAGGGTGTTTTTACAGGTCCTTCTCCTTCAGAAAGTTGAGCTTTCGTACCTAACAAAAAACACTGATAGTGACTTCCACTGGACAGGTCAACTCGTTTAAAATGAAGTCCACAGGATAGACCATCATTATGTTAACATTATGCATTCCATGTTTTTAATTTAATAACAGAACAGGATTTCATAAGGCATTTAGACATAAATAAATTCAACACACATAGAAATAAAACAAGTCAAACAAAAAGAAAAAAAATGATACAATAATTAATCAAATATCAGTAAAAAGATGCACAGATCGACAGTGACATGAAACATGATGTGACCACTGCAATGCTAAGGTTATAACTGAATAATTTGTGCAAACACACATACATTTTTGGCCCATGTTTACGGTGTTCATAAGCTTCATTCATACCTTTGTATAAAAGTTACAGAATGTAAACGCATAAAAATCACAGAATAAAGTCCCTCAATGTTGCAGTAAAGCAAATGGGAATGGGAAGGTTGGAGCTACATGGACATGAATTATGGTCAATGGAACTTATTGCACATGCAACAACAGCAAGATCTTCCTTGTGAATCAAGGAAAGAGTTAGATTTGAATGCAACAACAATACTTGACCTCTCATTCATGAACTTGAGCTAAATGCTATGAAAATTGCATAAGTATGTTTTATTCCAAAGAAAAAGAAAAAAAAAAAGAAAAAGGATTCTTCATGGAAATGTTTAATGTGACTTTTTGTTAGCTTCCAAAACCTTGTGGTTTTAGCATATGAAGATACAGAGTCGACATGTTGATTGATGCCAATCTTCTCTAGTGATTTTGGCTTAAAAGAGTGTTGCAACCATGATAATTTTAGCTGTCTGAGCACATATTTTTTCTCACCACTCATGCCTCTAAATCATAAACAAATAAGACTTCACCTCTTCTCAGACCAACATCTGCCAATGTTTCTTCAGTATTATTTTGGCATGGTAGAACTCTTTTTGGAAAGTTTGTTGCAATCTCAAACCGGTCAGGAGACTCAGGGTGGCAAAAGACAAAAAGAAATAAAGCCTGTTGGGAAAAAAGTTGTGGAATTCTTAATATTGTAAAAGGTCCAACAAAATGAAAATACTTTATCAGAGCATTAACTAACCTCCAAAGGATGTGATTGTAAAAATCTACGCTCCAACCTTTGCCCAGTAGGTAGCTTTATCACTACATGAACAGATTCTGGATGATCTGAACTAGGCTCAGAGGGAACTCTGCTTGCTAGTTCCACCTTCTGTCGCTTTATTTCCTGCAGGCAAGCAAAACATTGTTTTCACTTATAGACTTGGAATTAAAACAATGTTGTTAATCAAAACTCAAAACAGGCCATACCTCTTTCTCTAATTGTTCTTGACGCTCACTTTCTCTCCTTTGACGTTCTTCTTCCTGCTGACGCTCCCTTTCCATCCTTCTCAACCGCTCCTTTTCTCGATCAGCCTGAAGAGAATCCTCGTAGGCCTGATCTTGTTGAGCTCTGATGGTTTGATTTAAGCTTCTTTCCATTCTGCAATTCAAAAAAAAATACACACAAAAGCAATCAGTGTTAAGAGTCACAATGTTGATTATTTAAGAAATTCTATTTACACAGATCAAACACATGTATTTAAGAATCTTTACCTATCATTTCTTGCAGCAATAAGACAACCCTCATTGTCAACTACAATGGTTTGCAAACGTTGCAGAAGTGTTTCAGCATTCATAGGTCCCTCCAACCTTTCAAGAGGACAGCAAGGAAACAAACACTTGAAGCCAGAGCTCCTCTTGAGCAATTTAAAATAACCAACAGCTACTTTTTGTGGCAGCTTGAGTAGAAATGTCTAGACATTAATCACAATACATTACCTTCCAACAACCGTCATTTTAGCATCTCGCATAGCAAGAACAGCCAAGAACGGATATGCATTTTCACGCAAACTTAGGGAAACCCTATATCCTTCGGTTGAATTCACTAAACATCCCCAAAACAGCATGTGCGAGTTGATGTAGTGGATGACATTTTCATCATTTAGGACTTGCCTGAGAAAAGAACATTTTAAATCAGAAATTTTAAAAAGTGAAACAACTTGGTAGTTTATTTTAGAGTTAGGCACATACCGGCAGAAATTTATGTTATCCTGATGATCATCTGAATGTAAATAAACTATAAGAAATCTAAGTTCATGTTTGGCATCATTCAGAGCTTGACTGTAAGATCCCTGGTAAAATACTGGATGTTGGTGTCCATAAGTCTCCTCATAAGTCCGAATAAATTTCATAACATCAGCTGTTGGATCAGTAACATCTGGAGAATAAACCAACAATCAGCAAAACATTCATATAAAAAATAGGTTGCAAATAACAGAACGTAACTTACATCGCCTGTTGTCACCCAAAAGAAATTTGTAGGCCATTAGATATAGAGTTTGGAAAATGCTGTAGCCAAACTGAAAGAGTCTGGAAATGCTAAACCAGGATCCATCGGAAGGAGGCGAGAAAAATACATGTTGAAACATGAGTTCGTTGACAACTGCTGGTGCATGAGTCTCTGAGCTAGCATACACAGATGGGTGGCCATCTCTGATGTTAAGTTGATCAGAAACGGCTCCTTCTAGATCCCAACTGTGTCTTGTTAAAATATCCCTGCAGATAGTTATATCTTCTATACCAGTGAGATCCTGTAATAAAATGTAAAGAAAACACTTAGCTTCTGACATTGAAGGCCTCTCGAACACAGCTGAAAAGAGAAAAGAGCTGAACAAGTAGCAAATTTAGGGAGTTTTCATCACAAAAGGAAAGTAATAGTAACAGTTTCTAGCCTTACTTTTTGACAAGTCAACAATGAAACTACAATATTGCAAGTCTTAGGGCTCAGCTTTAGCCAATCCGAATAAATAAAGTTAAAAATATACTCTCAATGCCAAACAGTACAAACCAAGGAGACCTACATGTTGGCAAAAATTGCCAGTTGACCATTACCTGAAACTGCAGAATCTTCTCCGTCTGCTCCGAGGACAGACCGAGGGCCATATTATCCATCTTGCAATCAGTAATATCATGCAAATTGACAAATTACCGGGTGCAGCGGTAATCAATGGAAACTAAAATGCCCTAAACGACACCAAAGCCACAAAAAATTGAAAAGTTAAATTAAATGAGATTAACTTGGAACGATCTCTTGAAAAAACCAGCTGTCCTCAAACAAACTGCACTGCTGCCACTCAAACAGTCTCCTGGTGTGCGGACTGTTTCCAGGGAGAGAAAGCCGGGCGGGGAGCCTACAAGGGCGAGAGTGGGAAACGCGCCGTGTTGCCGTTACAGATTCTGTTTTGTTTTCGATTCGAGAAGAGGCGGGCTAGCATGATTACTTCTGCCTGTTGAAAAAAGTGTGCACCTCGTCATTATCTCACCTCAAAGCTTCAAAATACCGAGTAGGTACTCTAATGTTGTGCAGGATCCAGGTTACATTTATATCTAGAGCGAAAAACACTAAGTCATTGTAGGAGACACATTTTGAAGAGATGTATGTAGTGCGAGTATGATTGGAGAGGTTATCTTGCTTACTCTTTCTCCTCTACTTCTTATTTCAGCTTTACAATGGATGAGGACACCCAAGAATCTATTCCTCAGTTTAAGGTAAGTTTTTGTCGTTTTTTGCATTGCATTCTTATTTGAAATAGTATTTTAAAAAAATTACCTACCATATCTTTGTTGTGTTTCAGGAACTTGACGACGTTCTGAACTGTGGCATTTGCCATGAAATTTTAACCACTCCCGTCATCACAGCCTGTAGTCATACATGTATGTACATTTGTGTGTAGTGCTTTCAATAGCTACGAGCTATGTTTAGTCAAGCAAATCAATTTGCATTTTTGTTCTAGACTGCAGCATTTGTATAAGAAGGTGGCTGTCAGGCAAACAAGAATGTCCCTCTTGTGCCACAGCCATTTACGAGAGCACTCTCCGAAAAAACACAATTGTTGGAAATATTCTTGATGCTGTTAAAAACGTGAAAAGGCTATTGGGGTAAAGCATGCCTATTCTCTGATGAAATTAGTTCCAATCTTCTGTATTTTCATAATTAATTGTTCAATTTCCTTTGTTACTCATTGAAGGAAAAATGCCTCAATGCCAAGCATTAAGAGCAGCACTAGATGTCTTAATGTTCAGGATGAGTTTGGCGATGAACCAAAGAATAGGACCATCAAAACGACTCCACCTGCAACACCAAAACAGAATCATTCTGCTCAACCTACAAAGACTCCAATGCTTCTACCAAAGACCCCCTCACCTATGGTACAGAAATTTCCCAAAGTGGAAGTGAATAGTACCCCTGGAGGAGGGACCCCAACAGCATTGGACAATGATCATTCGCCTGCCTTTAAAGTACCATGCCCAGTGTGCGGTACAATTATGGCTCAGAGATTAGTGAATAGCCATTTGGATCGCTGTTTGTTGGAACCTAAGACTCGGTCATCTGAGACAGTAAAAAGTCCAACTCCTACTGTTAACTCTGCAGCAAAGACAAGTATAGCTAAAAGGTGGGCTCTTTTTTAAGACCAAACACTGATACCAGTAGGAGACCCTTTATATGATTTAACAATCTTTCTTGTGTGGTCCTTATTGAAGCTCAAACTCTGCTGAAAGTAATCCATCCCTTCAACCCATAAAAAAAATGGTCTATAATCTGCTGTCTGACAAACAAATTAAAAATGAGTTGAGGAAGTATGGTCTAGCCATTCAGGGAGACCGTAGTACTTTGTTATCAAGGCTAAAAAGGTCAGGCTTCTCTAATAACAAAGCTCTTGGAGTACTCACTGTTGGCTCTATAAATTCCTGAAGTATGTCCATATTCATTCTAGGTTTGTCATTTTGCACAATGCTGAATGCGACTCAACTACTCCAAAAACATTAAGTGAAATGAAACTGCTTGTTGAAAGAGAGGAAAAAGCAATGGCTGGTTCTTCAGCCTCTTCTTTTGTAAGTCTATGAGTGGAAAGGAAGTTAAAGTTTATTATATTTTCATATATCTTTCATTTTTGTTGTTGTTGGTTTTGTTACAGAGTCAAATGTTCAAGAGAACAGATAATCCTCAGGAGATAGATAATGCCCTTAAAGAGTACAGTGAGTACACTCATTTTTAAAATGTCATTATTTTTACTAACTCTAAGTTGTAAAATATGTTGAAATTTTCAGGGACACAGCAAAAGGCCAGTTACCAGAAACTGATTGATGAGGTGAAGAAGAGAAATAAACACAAGCCCTCCAAAAAAGAAGAATGTGTAATTTTAAGTGACACGGAAGATGAAGATGACCCTGCCCCTATCCCGGTTCCACAACACGAACCTTTACCTGTACCTGAAAGTGCCCATGCCATGAACTCCAGGCAGGCAGATAGTGATTGCGACAAGTCTGGGAAAAAAACCAATCACGGTAATGCTAGTGACTCGGATGATATTGCCTGTACTAGTAAGTCTCGGAAATCAACTAATCATAGAAAGATGACCAAGAATGTAAAAAGAAAATGCATCGAGAGTGAGAGTGAAGAGGATGAGGGTGAGAATGAGATAAGGCAGGCAAAGCAATGGAAGCGAGCAGAGCAAACTACCTCACCTGTACTTCCTCGTAGTACTCCTGCCAGGCAGCTGCGAAGTCGCACAGCCCAAAATAAAGCTATTCAGAAGCGTAGCGTATCATCACCACAGAGTCAAACAAGGAACTCACAAAGAATCAAACAGCCCCCTTCTAAGAAGGTTTTAGAAAGGGGAGGTGGAAAAGATGGACTCTCATCTAGTTCTGATGAAGAAATTCCTTCCAAAAGAAGTATTGGTGTTAAACAATCCAAGCAAAGATCTCCCACGCCGGACCCAGATATATTTGAGTCCTCTCCAGCAAGCAGTATACTATTTCCATGTGGTCAAAAAGCTAGATGTGATGACAGTGGGAATGAGGCACTTAGTGCGCTTGTTAACATGATTGATAATGATGGTGGTAGGTAGATCATTTCTCCCATTGACTTCTGACTGTACAAGTTTGATATTAATTATGTTTTTGTTTTATTTGCAGGAAGCACCACAGATTTTGATGAGTGACTTTTAAACTTTCTTTAACTTTCAGCTTGCTGTTACCATGTTTTGTAAATTCAAAACTTTCTACGAACTATTTTATTCTATTTTATTGCATAAGTGACATTGAGGGCAAATAAAACCTTACTTTGTTCACCTTTCTGTATGTCTCTTGTAATGTGTTTTCCAAGCAGTTTTACGCTAAGTAGAAATAAGCTGTTTCTGCCCCTTCTATTTTCGTAAATCGCTAAAGATGCATATCCAAAAGTCTAAATTCAAAAAGAACTGGCAAAGAATGTTCAACAAAATTTAAATGGTACTCTTGGAAAGAATGAGGGACATTCGCTGTCTTAGAATAATAAGCATTATTAGGTAGAAACAGAAAGATTAGTGCAGCAAAATCAAAGCCTGTGCATATGCCAAGACTTTGAACCCTGCAGACTGCAGGGCACCAAAACGTGGCTTTCCAAAGCCAAGCAAAAGACAAAAACGCCAACGACGAGCGGCACAGGAGGAGGGGCTGGACCTTGCTTGGGGGGAGGGGTAAGAAAGGGTGCGCCGGCTGGGCGGCTGGGCCTCCAGACCATTTGCAACAAATTGATGGGGCATTGCGCTCCGTGACCGGCTCCGGTAATGGTCCCCAATGGTAGAGCCTAATGCCTCTTTATGGCTGGGTGTCCACCAGGAGCTCCTCCCCCCTCCACTATTCCTTCTTCCAGCCTTGTGCATTCGTGCCCCTCCCCGTCCCTCCTTCCTTCTTCGGGGATGTGAGGGATGAAGCGAGACGACGAGGGAGTTGCCCTCCGAGGCTGCCGTCCCCGCCCTGTTGGCGGTCCCCGCGTCCCCACTGGAAAGGCGATCCCGGGCGATCCTCCCACCCCCACCACACCCACATGACCGGGGCGTGCGGCAGGGCACGAACGCGCCCCGCCATGGCCCTGCTCCCCGTGATCTTGGTCGTCGTCGACCCCCGAGGCTGCAACCCGGGCTCGAGGACCAGAGGCGCCCGCGCGAGGCGGGGTAGGCAACGCAATGGCCACGGCGCGCGGCATGCTTGCCTACCGGCCGGGCGGACTCCAGCAGCACGCGAGTCACGGTGGTCACGGCCGAACGCGGAGCGGTTCACAGCGCGGATGCAATCCGCTTTTGTTCGTCGGCCTGCTCGGCAGGGCAGGGCCAGGAGCCAGGCCGCGTGGCTGGACACGGCCGATACGGTGCGGGCCTAGAGGGCCGGGGGGGCCTGGTTGGCTCCGTCGAGAACGGGCTGCATTCCGGCGGGCGCGATGCCGCGACGCCAAGGGGATGGGCTGCAGGCTGCTGCGCAAAGCGGCCGGGGCCCCCGCGGGGGAGGGGAAGGAGGGAGGGGCGCCGCTATCTCGCCGCAAACGTGCATTGCGCGCGGACGACTTTTACAGACCTGCAGACTGATTCCGAAAGTCGCCCTGTCTCTCTCGCACCAATACGGGACGCCCCATCAGTGGGGGAGGGACAGAGCGACTGAAACGACTCTCGGAATCAGAGGGCTGGCCGGGGCCGGGCGCGCCGGGCTGCGGTGGGGCGGCAGGGCTAAAGGCGGGGCTGCACGCTGAATGCACTATGCACTGCCGCCCCACTGTACTTTGATGCACCGCGCCGCACCGCGTCTGGGGGCGGGGGCGTCTGCTGGCTGTGACGCTGCGCCGCGGCGGTGGCGCGCACGGTTACGACTTCGGGCGTCTTCCGGGAGCACCTCCCGAGGGGGCCGCCAAGGGGGTCGAGCGGGGGGCAGTTTTGACAGACACTCCAATCCGCGGGCCTCCTGGGCGACGCGCTGGCGGCGGGGCACGCCGCGCCGCACCGCACCCGTCGCCCAAAGTTTTCTGAAATAATTGAAACGTCTCTCGAATGAGACATCATATGAAAAGCCGGGGCCTGCTCGGCGGGGGGCGGGACGCGGCAGCAGTGCGCAGCAGTTATCGCTGCGGCCGCGCTGACGTCGCTACGCGTCGCTGGGGGCGCGGCGTGGCGTGCCGCATACTCGGCAGCGCCGCGTCGGCCTCCCCGGGGAAAGCCTCGTATCTGGCGCGCCGGCGCCGCGACGTGCCGCCTTTTTGGACGACTGCGGCGCGCAGGCGGCGGCGCGCAGGCGGCAGCCCCGCGGTCTAGTCTGCTCTAATGTTCCTGATTAGAGCCCACATTAGCGCAGGCGGTGGCCGCGGCGAGGCGGAGCGGCGGAGCGCGGTGGGGAGGACGGGCCGCCATTGCCGCCCCGCCCCGCCCGGCCCGCCGAGACGGCCGAGACTCTCCAAGCATCGCCGAGGGCGCCGAGAGGCTGCCGATGACGTCGATCGCCATCCGCGCGTCCTCGCCCGCCTCCCCGACACCTCGCGGGCCCTCGGAACGCCATGCGCTTCAAGACGGCCACCCGGTTTCGTTCCGCTTTCGCCAAGGAGCCCAAGGAGGCCAAGAAGCACGCACCACGTTGCGTTCTCGAACCGATTACGTCCAAACGCCCGATCACGCCAGCCGTTCCCACGTCTAATGGGCGCCATTAATCCGAAATCAAAGCGCCGTTACACTTTAAACTGACCAAACGCGACGAGTCGCCCTTTAAGCAATTCGGAGCGAGCGGCGCGCGCCGTTCCTTTTGCTCGCAGTGGAGCGCACCGCCGCGCCGTGCCGTGCCCGCCCCGCGCGCGCCGAGGAAGCGAAATTGATTTCTTGATTTAAGACGACGCAGGGAACAGGAGCACGGGGCGGACGGGGCAGCGCAGCACTGCTGCAGCCAGCGAACGGGTACGCCGCCTTGCACTCCGGCGAGCAGGGCCCAGGGCGCCCCGCCCGCCGGGTGGACTGAACCTGATTGGGGGAGAGGGGAGGGGAGGGGTGAAGGGGGACCCAGCTTCCCTGCGCCGCGGCACTGCCGCCACAGGCAAGAGTCATCATTCGTCATGCCGTGCGTGCCGGGCGGGGCACGCCCTCGGCGTCGTGGGCCGCGAGAGCCTCGCAGGCGAAAAGCGTCAATACGTCTTGTTGTTCCATTCATTCGGCCTGTGGGCCCAGCGGGGGGTGCGGGGGCACCCGGGGCACGCCGCCGGAGAATGTGGCCGAATGGAAAGGAAGAGTGGGGGTCGAGAAGGGAGAGGGAGGCGGAGGGAAACCGTATGCCGCCGTGCCGCCCCCATCCCGAGAGCTGCGGTTTCTCAGCGGGAAAGCGAATGCAGTGCAAGGTGGTATGGGGGCGCCGGTCGCGCCTCCAAGTGTGAAGTGTGTGTGTGTGTGTCTGTGTGTGCACATACACTGATTTGTTTCGCTCTGTCGTGAGTTCATTCTGAGCTGAGCGACATTCACAAGGGGCTGAAAAATAATGCCTACATGCAAATGGGCCCATACTAGAAGTACGGATATAATATAATTTATAAACTCAGAGGCAGGTCAGCTCAGCCAGTGTACACCCAGTGGGAAGGCGTAGGCGGAATCGTCATCTCGTCCAACTTGATTCCCCCAACAGCGCGCCAGCACGGCGCTTCGTGACGGTCCGAACCAAATTTCCCTCGGCGAATAATTCGACGGCGTGACGTCACGTCGCGTCGCGGTGATGCGAACGGCGAACCCCGAGGAAGGGGTCGTGGCGGGGCGGGGCGGGGCGAGGTGGGCGTCGTCTGCTCCGCCTTCGTGCCCTCGGGGCCATCCGGTCTCCGCGCTGCTTTGCCAGATTTATGATTAAACAGTCGTAAAAACATTTGTCGAAAGGTGGGGCTGTTCTTCCTCCTTCCCCAGGGGCGCGGCGGGGCGCGGCGGGGCGTCGGCGTCGTCCTCGCGGGCTGGAATCCACATCGGCAGGAATGAAGCGCGTCCGCCGGCCGGGACGCCCGCGGCGATGGAGACGCCCGAGACGTAGGAGGGCCGCACGGTGGGCCAGGAGGCGGGTGGAGGCAGTCAAAATCCCGGACGCGTTTTGAGCTCCGGAGTCGCTAAATGGGACTCGAACCGAACGTGTGACCCCGCACCAATGGATTGCTCTCCGAACGAGGAATCCATTTTTGGGTCACACGCCCAGTTCGAGCTTGAGAGAAGGGCGCCCTTCTCTCAAGGTTCGAGTCCGGTTCAGCGACTCTGCAGCTCAAACCTCGTCTAGAGTTTTGGCCGCCTCCACCGGTCCTTTGGCCCACTGTGGGCCGGGCCGTGTAGGTTGGGGCGCGGAGCAGCGAGCCCCCCAGTACACGCTAGGAACAGAAAAACAACAAAAACAATCAAAAACAAAATTGGCAGCCAATAGCATCGCGCGACGCAAATCGCTCATTTCCGTCGAGACGCGAAATGGCGCCTCCGGCAAGCCTGCTTGCCTGCCTGCCCGCCTGCCCGCCTCGCCCCGGGCGCGGCCAATAAGACCGTCACCGTCAAGGCCCTCAATCAGCACCTCATCGCCATCGCCCGGCCGTCACTGCCTCCATTTGTCGTCCAGCGTGATTGCGTTTTTTTGCAATGCTTTTTCCGTGTCCCCTCGCGACGCAAGACGCAAATTGTCAATTTTTCGGCGGATACAACAAGATAGCGCGAACCGGAATTTTGTTTAAACGGTTCACAAAACATCCAAAACAGCAGCAAGTCCATCTTTCCCCGCGTCTCCCGTTCGAATCAGAGGGTGATGCGTGCATGTGGACCGACATGCGCACGCATGGGTCGCCCCGTTGTGGTGCGAGAGAGAGAGAGAGAGAGAGAGAGAGAGAGGAGCGACAAAGAAAGCCCTGCTGCGCCTCGCCGCTACTGCCGCCTCGCGCCGAGTGCGGAGTGCGGAGCCCCCTTCCCTTTTTAACTCATTTATTCGGCGTGCCATTCAGGCCATTCAGGTCGATGCACAGTGCGGGCCCAGGCCGGCGGGGCCAAGCCCAGGCCCGGGAGTTGACGCTGCCTCGACGCTGCCGCTTTTCCTCCTCCACTTCCTCGCGTCGCGACTCGGCGCGACTCGCGCTGCTCTCGGCCTTAATAAAGCAGATCATTCGTCAGCAGGGCCTTGGGCAGTATACTGATTCCGAGAGTCCCTCTCGCACCCGCACGGTGCGCCCCGTGAGTGCGAGGAAGACACAGCGACGAGAGCGACTCTCGGAATCAGCCTGCAGGGCCGCGATGTATATGTATACCGTTATTCACCAGGCCGTGCTTCACGCCGTCATCACCGGGAAGGGC